CCATGACTGTGGTTAGCAAGTGGATGGATGGATGGATAGATAGTAAGTTAAATGTGGATAGTGAAACAGGGCCTGCTTCCCATTCCTCATGAGTTTTATCAGATCTGCTCTCACAGGGAGACTCACACTATTACGTTGCCTGTTGCGAAGAGCACTTCCCTTTGCACAAGCGCTTGATTAAAGGATGGCACAAATGTATTAAGATAAAGTACGTGCACTCGCCGCGCGTTCACTTGTGAAGTTACTACAAGGAGGATGAAGCAAAGGATTGTGGGGTGACGTCACGGCACACGGCAGCGCCTTCTGCCCAGCCTATGTTACTAGGTTTTGGTATACATATACGGCATACATTGGAATCCCTGCAATGTAAAATGAATTTCAGTTTATTTAATAGACCATGTGCTGTGTAAGTAAATGATGAATATCAAGGCAACTGATAATGGCGATCCTCGTTCAGCTGGACTGCTGACCAAACCCCATGCACAAAACATACAAATTTCTGCCCACTGATGTCAGACCCTGTGTCCAACCATTTCCAAAATAAACTCCAAATTCTTGTATGTTTCTGTCATAAGCACTGAATTTTCAACAGGGGGAAAAGTCTTATTTGTTGCCATAGTGAAAACATGTTTTTGAGAAATAAAACCATTCCAGTCAGCTCCCTGGTTGAGGTGCAGCTCCCAAGTACAGTATGTACTGTATCACATCCTGAATGTCATTGGAGTAGACAAGTGTGTTGTGTGTGGAACAAAATCACTGAAATTGCCTTTCCTAATGTCTGTGCTATGAAAGTGTTTTGGGAACAAGTAGATCTTTTGCTTGGAGTCTAAATCCCAGAAGATGTATCAAGAGTCTTTTGACAAATGCAGATCTGTAACTGAATCACAGCTCACTGTGTGTGACATTTGCGATTCAGAAAGCGTTTCATCTGTGTGTGTCGTGATCTGTATCGTCTTCAGCTTCATGTGATGACGGAGTCACAGAGACCACACAAATACATAAATACTCTGCAGACTCCTGAGTGCCATATATATAATCCTGGTCAAGACAATGTGAGTCATAAAAATTTCTCCCAGCCATTCCTTGGAAGAAGCTAGGGTATCAACTTCTGGACTGTAATTTTCTAAACAGTGTCCAGTTATAGTGGTAGCAGGCACTGCCCAGTCATTGCTTGCAGTGTTAGATTGTCCAAAAGGACTGTGGTCATTTGGGATCCAGTGTCAGAGTAAATGCCACATGACTTGGCGAAGAGAGTTACTTCAGAGGTAATCTAGGTGTGTCAAAGCAAGGGGGTGAGTACTTATGCATTCAATTAATTTCAGTTTTTTTAAATGTATGGATTTTTTTTTCACTTTGACATTATAGAGTACTTTGTCTTGATGAGTGGCAAAAATTCTCAGTTAAATACTGTACATCATGGCTCCATGCTGTAACACAATAAAATGTGAAAAAGTCCAAGGGGGGTGTAGACTTTCTATAGGCACTGTATAACTAGTATCGTGACTGAATTCCAATTTACAGTTCCACTGAATTCCACTGTGCAGTCCGGCCTTCCTGATTTGATCTTTATTCAGTTGAAGTGATTTCTCCCTTTGCCTCACCTGCTCAGTGGTGTGTAGCTGGTTTCAAATAGCTGCTGCGTGTCATTTAGGTGCTGCTGTAGAGTGAGGTTGAAGAGGGTCTGCTACAGTACATGCAGAACGCTTTGGGATCCTTTGGGGTGCAAAATGCAGCTTAAGTACAGCAGTTCTTAATTGCTTATATTATTAGGTGGGACATTGCTTCTATCCTGGGTTTGATTTCTGCCTGCTGTGCCTTCTGTGTGGAGCCTACATGTTCTCCCCTATCGTCATGTGTGATTTCTGTTAGTGCTCTAGCTTCCTCTCACCTTCAGAGCGGAGACAGGCGGGTTATTTGGGGTCTTTAAGCTGTGTGTATGTGCCCTGTGCTGGACTGGCATCCCATAATGGACGTCCTGGTATACTTCCCATGTTTATGGGATAGGCCCAGCATCACCACAGCCCTTGTAAGGAGTAATCAGTTTGCCGTTGACTGTGAGCATCATCATCAGGGTAACTGATTCACTGTGCCTTGTGCGGTATAATCTGATCAGCAGGATTGACCAGTGAACTCTGTCTGCTTCTGTTCTCCCCAGGTGAGGAGAGGGAGAGGAGATATGCACAGCCAGAGAGGACCACGCCCTTTGTCATCGTGGATGGAAACAGACTAAGTCTGAAAGAGGCTTTAAAGGTGAGAGGGAGCACAGAATGTCAATCTGTTCTTTTATTGGACACCACAAGCACTGCACTCACTAAGGTGAAAAACTTCGGATTGACACTTGAGCCCAGCACTGTGACACTGAGGTACTGAGCACACTGCAGCCCAGCACTGTGCCACTGAGCTACTGAGCACACTGCGGCCAAGACTGTGACACTGAGCTACTGAGCACACTGGGGCCACACTGTGACACTGAGGTACTGAGCACACTGCGGCCCAGCACTGTGCCACTGAGCTACTAAGCACACTGCTGCCCAGCACTGTGCCACTGAGCTACTGAGCACCCTGCTGCCCAGCACTGTGACACTGAGGTACTGAGCACACTGGGGCTTACCTTGTCAACTCTGCGTCTGGCCTGTGTGTTGAGTGGAGGAGGTGCGGTCCAGCTGTCACTATGTACTATATTAACACACATCCGTATTGCTGGGCTTTTGATCTGCCCTGTCCTGTTTTTCTTTGTTTGAGAAACACTTCACATGCAAAAAACAGGAACAGATATCAAGACGGAAGATTACCATAAAATATGGGGATACAGAATGGAAAGAAGAGGAAGGGGGTTTCTGCAAATTACCATGCGGTCATTGTGGCTGTAGCAGATTGCTACCGATGAGCTGACCTCTCCTGGGTGAGATTTCAAACTGTCAAACTGGATACCTGCCCGGCTCTTTGTGTGCACGTGATAATAGAGGGGAGAGTGAATGAGGGGAATTCTTCAGGAAATGACTTTACGTCTCCTTTCAGCTGCATAGGAAGTGTTCATCCCCTCCAACATGGCCCCTCCTTGCCCTCTGTCAGGATACTGCTTTTCTTGCAGGAAGCCACAAAAAAAATCTGAAATCTGATTTCCTCTTTTTTTTAAGTTCCGCAAAAGGAAGCTTGATCGCACAGTCCCTCTTTCCCTGCTCTCCTGCTGTACTCAGCAAATTGGAAATGCTTAGGCAATCCTTCAGATTCTGGGAGTGTTAAATCACTGAGCTTTCAATTCGAGAGTTTTTGTAATGAAAGTATAATATAGTGTCACCACCTTGTAGGCTGATCTTGTTAGAGCTCAGATGCTAAGACAGGCAGGGCCTGATCGGCACTCAGATGGGACATTTTCACAGAAAACCAGGCTGTTGCTGTGAATAGTCTTGGGGGACCAGTAGGTGGCGCTCTTAATTTTCAAACCAATGTACCCCAGCATGGTAAGCAGGGACACTGTACTGTATGCAGTGCTGTCCTGCGGATGAGATATTAAACTGAGACACTGACTGCTGGGTCCTTAAAGATCAAATGCAATGTTTGTAGGAGTAGGGGGTCCTGGCTAAATTACATTCTAGACTCTACAGTCTAGCCTTCCTGCATTTCACTCATAATTCTGTTGGTGAAGCACTTTCTCACATTTCCTCCTGATCTGCTGTGCAGTTGGGCTGTTGGTACAGGATGGCTACTGGACATCTGCCTTGTGGGTGCTGCTCTTCAGTGGGAGATGAAGTGGATCCTCTCTTATCTGTGAAGTACTAGATCCTCTATTCATTCATAAACTAGTCAGGTTTGCAGACAATGCCAAAATAAGGAGATAATTGCAAGCAGAAAGCAAGAATGATAGTTCTAAATAAAAATGTGAAATGTGCAGCTTGAATAAGCTACATAAGGAAAAGAGGTGTTTATGATGGCACTTCATGTAGATCTTCTAGACAAAGTGGGAAAGCAAAGAGAAGACAAACAGAATATTAGAGTATATAGTTAAAAAAGAGATTTAACATCTAGGGATGTTGAATGTACTAGCAAGAAAAAGAGGCAATATTGTATTTCGGGATGGAGCACAGAAAACATCTCTTTACACAGGTAATTGGAATAGGCTTTCCAGTCAGGTGCTTGTTGTCTAAAGTCTGGGCTGCCTTATATATTAATGTATTAAGCACGTAAGATGGCCAATTGACCACCTCTCATTTGCAGCCTTTCCCATGCTCTTAAAGTATAGAGCATGCTTAAAGACTGCTTACTTACAGGACAGTGAAATCTTTCTACAGGATCCCACCTCCCGCTTTCAATCACAGGAATATAACGAGCTCACAGGTAGAACCCGGTGTAACCCTGACTCGACATGCACATGTGCTGTAGCCCTGAGCAGGGTGAGGCAGTGGCTGTGAGCTACACAGTGTTTTGAAAAAGAAAAGGAAAGGTGGGGAGACTTGACTAGGTGTGGCTGCAGATTTTTGATCTCCTATTCATCCAGCAACTGAACACACCTCAAGGTGAAGAGTGGGCGACTTCCTTCAGCTCTTCCTTTCCAGCTGATTCTGTTGATAAGTGCTGAGCCAAACTGAGCCTGGCTTTAAAGAGCAGCATGCCTGGCTGCAGGCTGTGGGCTGTGGGTTCAGTAAGTCACTGTAGACAAAACACTGCTGCAGACATAGAGACCAGTACAGTATGACACTGAGGACATGGCACTGCCAGAGACATGGAGACCAGTACAGTATGACACTGAGGACATGGCACTGCCACAGACATAGAGACCAGTATGTCACTGTAGACAAAACACTGCCACAGACACAGAGACCACCGTGTCACTGAGGACACAGCACTGCCTCAGACACAGAGACCACC